AAGTCCGTTGTACAGAAAACGTGCCATGTCGATCATATATTAAAAATCAGTCACTGTGAAATGTCGTCCGACTGATAGGATGAATAGTGAATCAATCTATAATTAAAATCGCAATAATAAAGAAATTTAATAACACACTGTATATAATCAAGCTATAGTATAAATTTCTTTTTTAATACGAGTGTTGATTGCGTAATCAATAGTGTAAAACCATTTATGACGTTTTAACATTGATTTTTGGTTTTAATATTTAATCTTCAGAATGATTTTAAGGAACTATGCAACTTGCGATTCTATAAAAGGAAAAATAATTTTATCCGATCTCTTAGTATTAGGATGAAAATATCTCTTGTCATTTCTGCAACTTATTAAGCATTGAGTTATTTATAACATTATAGTAATGATGGATGGTATGTCACAGCTTAAATACATAGAAAAATACATAATGACTTTAATATAAAAAACCACCAGAGTAATTTCATGCCATTTATGAGTTATCCTGGCAGAAACATCTATACTAATTTTTTTATTATATTAATATCTTCTTCGTGATCTTTATCATCATTGCTACCATCCTCCACATTTTCCATATCAACCCATTCCTGAATCGCTTCTATTGTTTGTTTCTTTCCCAGGATTAGTTTTTCACTCGGAAATTCCTTTTTGCTCACAAGTAACTCTCAAACAAAAAAATCCAAGTCCTCCTCGTCCATTTCTTATCAAATAACTGTTTAAAATCCTCCACAATAATGCTTTTGATCACTAATAATTTAGGTTTACCGGAATTGGTGACATTTCCTATCTTAATCCTTTTAGCCCAGATACATTATAACAAAGATCCCCCTTTTTTATTTACTTTAAGCTGTTTTTATGGAAAAAAAAAGTCTTATTGTTGTGTTTGAGCAATTGCAGAAATTTGGAATGTCCAATTTTAATTTTACAGAACCCTGTATATTTTGACAGACTCTTAGTCTATACCAATGTTACATTTATTTGGTTATCTTCCAATAGGTGTCATTACATGCATGAGGACCCCGAACAATTATAATAGAGGAGAGGCCATATAAAATTTACTATTACTATTACGTATTATGATACCCGATTTACATTTAAACCCAAAAATTCACACGAGAATAAATTTGACAAAGTCATTTGGATTTTTCATCAAAATTAAAAATCTTTCATCTATATATAATACAGTGGGTAATGGAAATAATTGCGGTGACAAAAGGTTGCACATCTCAACAAATATTGAAAGATAGGTGAAGGTATGTTTGCACGATTGCAAAGCATAATCAAATAGGTTTAGATTCATTTAAAATAAAAAAATTATATTACCAATATTTTGTAAAGCTAATTCACATCTTTTTTTTAAAACCTTCACAAAATTTTTGACTTAAAAATTTTGACATGAAATTTTTTAATAATTATTCTAACACAAAAATATACACAATGATAATAATTATACAAAAAGTTATATTCATTGTGGCTTAAATTCTGAAGATTTCGCATATAAAATTGCATGCTTTTATATTTTCTAGAACTTTGTCAATTAAAAATTAAGGAATCTGATTATTTTGAAAAAAAAGTATATAAAACCTTGGATCAGACTGCCATTACCCTGCTTATGTTCAATAGTACTCGTTCTTTGGGCATTTGAGATTATGTTCAACGGTATGAAAAGGAATATTTACCTCCTGATGTATTTTTCCTTGACGAATGAGCATTCTCAGGCCAGTGATGTAAATAACGTGAAATATTTTGAAGTTAGGCTCAATCTCCGTGTAACACGTGCTTATAAGATGCTAAAGATAGAAAATAGTAGACGAAGCCTTTTATTTTATAAATGTCTTCAATGAGATATAAGAAAGATATGCGAATCATGATAAACAACAC